GAGGGAGAGGAGGGGGTTTGAGAGAGAGAGGAGAGAGGAGGTTTAAGAGAGAGAGGGGGGGGGTTGAGGGAGAGGAGGGGGTTTGAGAGAGAGAGGAGAGAGGAGGTTTAAGAGACGGGGGGGGGGGGGGGGTTGAGAGGGAGGAGGGGGTTTGAGAGGGAGAAGGGGGTTTGAGAAAGAGAGGAGAGAGGAGGTTTAAGAGACGGGGGGGGGGGGGGGTGAGAGGGAGGAGGGGGTTTGAGAGGGAGAAGGGGGTTTGAGAAAGAGAGGAGAGAGGAGGTTTAAGAGACGGGGGGGGGGGGGGGGGGGTGAGAGGGAGGAGGGGGTTTGAGAGAGAGAGGAGATAGGAGGTTTAAGAGAGGGGGGGGGTTGAGGGAGAAGCGAGGGGGAATAGATTGAAAGAGAGGGGGTAGATCAGAAAGAGAGAAAAGCGGGGGTAGTTTAGAGAGGTGGGTAGATTTGGGCGGGGGGGGGGGGGGGGGGGGTTGTTAAATTAGAGAGCCTGAGGTTTAAGAGCGGGGTGGGGGGGGGGTAAACTTGAGAGAGAGGATATAAATGAGCGCTCTGTAGAAATGCCTTATTAAATAAACAGGATACAACTGATGTAGCATTGGTCACGGTTAGAGGTGGTTTATTTGTGTTTGGTAAAAGTTGTGGGAGAGGGAGTCGTTCTGAATCCCGAGGTAGTAGTGTATCACAGGGTGGGGAGTGTGTGTGAGGGGCGGGGGAGGGAGAAGGAGGACTCGAGTTTTGTGTTGGCTGTAAAGTCATCACGGCAATGTTTATTAATCTTGTCTTTTTAATTGGTCCCTTTTATCTTTATTGTCACATATAGTGACTGTTTTTTAGGCTAAGCTCCATTTGCGTGCGCAGTGAGGTCCCAGAAATGGCCGTGAGGCAAATAACGTAATCATCTGGGGGGTTATTATAATACTCCTTGCATTTGATATAGCGCCTTATCACATTGTTGAAACATCTCAAAGCGCTTCACAGAATATACTGTACGCACAGCAGTGTCCCACAAACCTGTGGATTGAGTGACCAAATTATTATTTTTTACATGTACTTTTGAAGGGGTTATTATCCCTGGAAAGCTATCTGCCAATCAACTAACACCCGGGTTCCTATTTACTGCTAGGTAAACAGGGGTGTGTGGAGTAAAGAAACTTGATGAAGGTTTCACTCTGTCCTGGAATCAAACCCAGGTCCTCTCGCTTACAAGGCGAGTTCTCTACGCTACAGGACTCTTTGGCCAGCACATGGGGAGAGAAACTCCCTTTTTTCCAATAGCGCCGCGGGATCTTTAACGTCCGTCAGAATAAGAGTGCTCAGGAGTTGGAGGTATTTTATTTCTGTTTGGTGAAGGGTGGAGGATGGGGGACCTTGCCAAACTGTGCCTAATACTTTCCGGAATTAGGCAATCCGAATGCATCCCTCCAGGGAGAGAGAGAGTGCACATTGTATTCCAACCATCTATCTGGGATTTCTGTGGGTAGGTGGGATATACGGAATTCTCGGTTTGGTTTGGATACTCTTTAAGATTGGTGATGGGTTTCCGCATTCGGCAGACACCCGGCCGACAAATAAAATTCAACTTGACCTATGTTTCCACTCTGTCTCCTCGAGCAGTCTCGCCTCCCGCCCCCGCACAGTCACATGCGGTGGAGCTCAGCCCTCTGTCCTCCTTTCCCTCATCTGCCTGCCTCCTCTCGGTGGTGTCCCCTGCAGTCACAAGATTAACTTCTACATGTATGCAGGTGGCACTAAACCCTCCTTTCTCACGTCTAGCCATGACCCCAGGCCTATTGATGTTCTGCCCACCTGCTTGTCAGACATCAAGGCCTGGATGAGCGCCAACTTTCTGCAGCTGAATATGGACAAGATAAGACAAGATACTCCTTGATTCCTGTCAATGTCTTCTTACCTTCGGCTCTGACCTAATCAACCTCCCCGGCCTTTCTTTCAAACTCACTAAACCTACATGCAAACGTGGTATCTGATCCCCAGCTGTCATTTCTACCCCATTATCCAGTACCTGACCAGGGCTATTTTCCACCACCTCCAACCTTCGAGTAATAATAATATTCCTTGCATATAATGTAGCGCTTTATCAAGTCATTACATGTGTACAGCGTGTTTCATATCAGGAGGATGTCCCAAGCTAGTGGTTGGGATCAGGCGGGGAGGGTAGGGGTAGGAGGGTGACCGAAAGCACAGTCAAAGAGGAGGTTCTTGAGATGGGTCTTAAAGGAGATAAGGGAGGGGGTGATGCGGAGGGATTGTAGGATGGAGTTCCGGAGGGTGGGGGCAGAGAGGCTGAAGGCCCGCCCGCCATCAAAGCGCTTCACAAAGTATATTATAAAGTGGATTGACTGTGTATTTTGTGGAAGGACCAACAACAACTTGCATTTATATAGCGCCCTCCACGCCTGCGCTTGACAGAGCCAGGGGGAGGGGGGCGGTGACCATAGGTGCGGTCGAAGAAGAAGGTCTTCAGGTA